TTCCGTTGCTTCTGAATTGCTTTTTTCCCCCAGTTGCACGAAGTTGCCTAAGAACTTACTGACGTAGGAATCCCGGGAATGGACAGGGACAGAGTGATTTTAGCTCTGTATTTTTGCTCTTGTTAATTAGTTGGCTGACCATGCAAAGCACACCGAGAGTTTTAAAATCGTGGCCTTATTCGCTTTCTCAAGAATTGGTATTGGTTTCTTTTTCCCTGCAAAGCTACGGAAAATAAATGGCGACCTTTGTACAGACTTCTGGTGTACTCGAATGTTGAGAACGAGTTCTGAGAACTCTTCGAGAAAATGGTCTCTCAAGACCTGACGGTTTTCTTTGCTTGGATTATCAGTGACCCTTCTTCCTCCTTGTTGGTTAATATCAATATAATTGTTTCCATTTACTCTTTTCATATTTCTTACACTTTGATTTTGTTTGCATCTGCAAACTTGTTTGGTGGCGATGTGGGTACTAATAAACTCAATTTTTCAGGCAGAGGTGGTTCTTTTGAAGCACTTTTTTGAATGATTAAATATTTTGATAGTCCAGAAAAAGTTACTTGAGCTGTTTGGAAATTCAAAATGTTTAGATAGCACTTGAGAGATCATGTTTCCAGTAAGATTAGTCAGGGTCATGGGCTCATTAATGCTGGCAGCAGAAAATAATGGGGAATCCAATGACTAATGGTAAAACCTGATTGTATGTATAGGTGAACTTAAATAGGAACCTGCGGCGTGTAAAACTGTGATGCCACCTGCTGCCTATAGTTCCCGAAATAATTTCTAGTTTTATGTTAATAGAGGTAAAGAAGGAGCTGTATCTGTGTGCTTAAAAGTGCAGAGCAGGTGCTGAGACAGGTTTCGTTGCTTCCTGAATTTATGCCTAAATGTGACCACCGGTATGCTTCAGGGAGGATGTTTTTCTCCTTGTAGAGCTTGTTAGGAGGAATAAATGAATAATTTAAGGATTAAGTGGTTGCCTTTCCTGAAGTCAGTGTTACAGTTTTACTTTGTCATTCCCATTCATTATACAAATATCGTAGTCCAGACTGCGTGTCTAATTGGAGATTCAGTATTGAGCAAAACAGACAAAATCCCTGACCGTGGAGCTTGTGTTCTGGTGGGGAAACAGGCAGTAAACTGATAAACAAGCAGAATAAGGCGCGTGTGGGGTTGGGCTGCCCTCTGCGGGCGCCTGGAGAGCAGCAGGGCCCGGACGGTGGAAGCAGCTGTGTTGGAGGCAGGTTACTCTTCTAAATAGTTGCTCAGGAAAAGCCTCACTGATGGGGGAAGGTTTGGAAAGAAACATGGCTGGTATAGGTGACACAGGGTAACCTGGGGAAAGAGCATTCTAGGCAGAGGGGACAGCAAGTGCAAAGGACCTGAGGAGAAAGACCAGTTGAGGATGACCCTGAAGGTTTTGGCCTGAGGCACAGGAGGGATGCAGTTGCCATTTCCAGAGACTGGGAAGGCGCGGAAGGAGTAAGGAGTCGTCTTTGTCAATGTATTATGAGTTCAGGGTTCTAGAGTTTACTTACCTATAAAATCCCTGAAAT